ATTGCTATTGGTCCATCCATGAAGAAATCTCACTATTGTTTGAACTGCCGAGGTTTCTCTTTTCTTTTGTTTGATTGCATAATAATCTGTTTTTAATGGAGTTATGTAGACTGTTTCCTTTTGTTGACGTATCATTTGAATTGTTATTTTAGGATCTCTTGCTGGAGCAGCATGCAGGAAAACTATGGTTCTATGTAATTCCTGTCTGCAGGTAAAGGAGCCGCAAGTCAACTCTACTGAAGCAGCCGATACTAGTGACAAGTATGCTTTGTTTCTTGTATCTAGCTTGTTTGGTCATGTTGGTGCTTTGGCATCTGTGAGATTACATAGTTAACCTCTATGTTGAATTTGTTCAGATCACCTAAACCAACTATTGTGACAAAGTCATCTTACAGTGCTACAAAGGGCAGTTTGTCTCAAACGAAGACTGTGGGAAGAGTAACTAGAAAGTAAGAATTAGTTTTATGTTTGCATATTCTGTTTTCCAGTTTGATTTATTGTCTGTTGCAGTATCTAAGGCATTCTCTTTCTACATAATTTTAAATTCATATATTTTTTATGCGTTTTGAAGGGATCTACGGATGCATAAACTGGTTTTTGAGCAACATGGATTGCCAGAGGGAACTGAACTAGCATATTTTGTCCGTGGACAGGTTATTGGTGTGATTTTTTTAAGCTAAAATTTTATCTTCTCTGTTTAGTTGTCTTTTCTTAATTGGTTGTGTGATGTCTTGCAGAAATGTCTGGTAGGTTATAAGAAGGGATCAGGAATACTTTGCAACTGCTGTGATTCTGAGGTAAATTTTGTTCAAATGGAATTGCTGGTTTCTTGGGTGTTGGATCAGATATTTGATTTTATTTACATTAATGATCAGGTCAGCCCATCACAGTTTGAAGCTCATGCTGGTTATGCTAGTCGTCGCAAACCGTAAGCTCATCCTGGTCTTGTCTTTAACCTTCTTTTATTTAAAAATCAAGAAAAAAAGTTTATGCTTCTCTGTCAATGGAGTTATTCAATTCAAGTTATATGTGGACACCAGCCTGCTAGATTGTAGGCAATATAACATTAATCAACTTATAATGAAGATTATTTATGGAAGTTATAACAGTTTTCTCTTTATGTATTAAAGTATTAAAGAATTGACTTGGTATTATTTTATATGACAGTTTCCAACACATTTATACATCTAATGGAGTGTCGCTTCATGAATTGTCGATATCTCTATCCAAAGATAGGAAGGTCTCTATAAGTGAGAATGACGACTTATGTAGCATTTGTTTGGATGGAGGGGATCTGTTATGTTGTGATACATGTCCAAGGGCTTTTCACAAAGGTGAGTTTTCACTTTTCATCTTTCATGGAATACTTTGTGCCACGGGAAAATTTTCTTTGGAGTTATTAATCTAGTTGCTCAATTGTTGTAATTATCATCTGTTATCCATGGAAGCTACTGCATGTTGTTGCACTTTCTCTTTGTAAAAATGTATAGGAATGTGAAGTTTATCCGTATGGTCTGCCGTTTAGGTATGTGGTGAAGTTATTCTTCACAGTGAGAAAGGAAGAGAGGATTTTTAATTTTTCTTATTTGATGTGTTCTTATATACACATTTTAATTGCAGAGTGTGTTTCGCTGCCAAAAATTCCCACTGGGACTTGGTACTGTAGGTATTGTCAGACTATGTTCCAAAGGGAAAAATTTGTGGAACATAATGCTAATGCTGTTGCTGCTGGGAGGGTTGAGGGGGTTGATCCAATAGAGCAGATAACTAAGCGATGCATTCGTATTGTCAAAACACCAGAGACTGAAAACCCCAGTGTATGCGTATTATGCAGGTCAGTTTCATTTTTTTATTAGAATTAGGAATGCCTCGTTGTTGCTGTCAATCAGCCATCTCCTCTCCTCGGCTCTTTCCCCTCTCTTGTTCTGCAGATTGCTAGGTTGCTTTTTGGCTTGGTTCATTGAATTTTAAGTCAATTGAGTCTTAATGTTATTTCTGATTGCATTACTTATGTAATGTACTGTCTCATTTCCACCTTAAAATTGCATGTTGTTTCACTTTTCTTGGTCCAAGCCATAAGTTTTTGTTCCATTGCCCTGCTTTTTTTGAGTTTATTCTTTTTCTTTCCTGCCTTTTCCTTAAACTGATGAGCTTTAATTTTTATTTCTCTTTGTTTCTTTTTTATGCTTACTGACACATTCATGACATACTCAGGGGTCATAATTTTAGCAAATCAGGATTTGGTCCTCACACTGTTATCCTCTGTGATCAGGTATTTTCTTGAATGTCTGTATATGCACTTGTCAAATTCAAATTAAAGTACTCAATGTATCAACCCATGTTTGCTCTTAGTGACTGTATGACATTTTTGTAATTATTATTATTATTATTATTTTTATTTTCAGTGTGAGAAAGAATACCATGTGGGGTGTCTAAGGGATCACAATATTGATGACCTTAAGGTTTCATGACTCTTCTATTAAATACTGTGACTTTATTTTTATCAAACATATATATTTTTTTAATTGGGTGATTAATGCTTGGGGTTTTGGTTGAATGTAACAGGAGTTGCCAGCAGGACAGTGGTTCTGTTGTTCAGAGTGCGATGTAATTCATTCGGCTTTGCAGAAATTGGTGGCTCATGGGCAAGAGAAGCTTCCTGGCTCTTCTCTGAGTGTTGTAAAGAAGAATCATGAAGAAATTGATTCAGAGAACAAGACCAATCTTGATATAAGATGGAGAGTTCTTAGTGGGAAAATGGCTTCACTCGATGACACTAGAGTGTTGCTTTCCAAGGCTGTAGCAATCTTCCATGTATGTAATTGATTATTTCTACTTCATAAGTTGAGGACATGATATTGGAGTGTTGCTTTCCAAGGCTGTTGCAATCTTTTGCTATTTCTACTTCATCAGCCTATATTGATCAATATAATCTGCTGCTATAATGTGATCATTATAGCGAGAAAAAGAGGTTCTCTTGTATGTTATAATTATAAATCCTTTGTGGCTGTAGTGCCTCTAGGATGGCCTCATCCTTCTCCATTGTTAGCTAGTGTCTGATGCATTTGGAAGAGCTTTGTGGGTAACCACTAATTTGTTTGTCACATTGTTTCTGTGCTTAGGACCGCTTTGATCCAATAAGTGAATCTGGATCAGCTAAAGGTGATCTCATACCAGCAATGGTTTATGGGTAAGTAAACTGTCGCCTTTTTGGTATACTCTTCCTCACTTTTTCTGAGAAATGTTTTAAGGCTTTGAAATTTTGCATGTGAATAATTTTGTTGATTGGCTTTACAGAAGGACTTTCAAGGGCCAAGATTTTGGTGGCATGTTTTGTGCAATATTAACTGTCAAGTGAGAATCCTTTTTTTCGAGTTTGTTCTCTGCCCCTCCTAGCTGTCTTTGTGACTAATTATCTGGTTTCATTACACGCAGTCAAGTGGTTGTATCAGCTGGTATTTTTAGAATATTTGGGCAGGAAGTGGCAGAACTTCCTTTGGTTGCAACAACCACCCAAGCCGAAGGGCAGGTGATCCGCATCACAACCAATCCTCTACATTCTTTTCTTTGGCTATTATCTAAGAAGCTGGCTCAAACAAAGTATTAATTGGTGCAGGGTTATTTTCAATGCTTGTTTTCTTGCATTGAGAAGCTACTCGGTTTTTTAAAAGTGAAGAATCTGGTGCTTCCAGCAGCTGACGAAGCTGAATCTATTTGGACAAAGAAATTTGGATTCAAGAAAATGCCCCTGGATGAGGTATGATGTTTTCCACAACTTTCCCTAGTGCCAAACTCAGCAATTCACAGTTGATAAGATTAATAGGATATATGTTGGAATACAGGTGAACAAATATAAAAGCGATTATCAAATGATGATCTTCCAAGGAACTTCAATGCTGTGGAAGCCAGTTCCTGGAATTCTGCTCAAGTCAAAGGAAGACTGAATTGAACAGCAGGATATCGGAGATTTTGAAACCGGAGAAGCCATCTTCTTCTTCTTTTTTTTTTTTTTTTTTGGAGAGACATTTCCTCCCAGCAGCAGCAGCAATGTACAGGGCTACGGGGTAGTTTTGGTTTTGTATGTACAGGAATTACACAATGCAATGCAGTGGTACTAAATTTTTTTTTGTAGCATAAAAAATGTACCAAACTGGAAGTCGGTGAATTAAATTGGAGGAAATTTTGATGTCTCAATACAAGGTATTTCTATTTATTTTTGTACAAAAAATAAATCCTTAATTAGAAATGCAGTTATTTTTATATATATAATTTTTTTAATATTATCACCGGAATTGCCATGAATTTTAAGGGAATTCAATGCATACGAAAGCAGAACTTTCTAGATGGTTAAAATATATAATCATGAATCATCCGTTCTAAAACGTGGGCGGGAGGAATTCAAAATTTAAAATTCAAAAACAAAATCTGGAATTAATTTCTTAAATTAAAATTTAAAAGGTAGTAGATTCACTTTTTTGCCCCCAGTAAAGGTTCCCTATTACGCCTCTGCCCTCTCGTCGTTCCTTATATCCCCTCTTCTCCCTTTCCCCTTCTTTTCCTTTCACTCTCGCCGTCTCTGAACAGGTAACGTTTCCATTTCATTTCATTTCATCTCATTTGTGTTCTACCATGGATATGGATTGTCGCCCGTTTTCGTTGATTTATTTTGGCTTACGCTTTCAAATTCCTGTGTTTTGTAGTTCAAATCTTGAAGGGAAAACTGCAAGCAACGAAAATGGGTCAGATCCAGTATTCGGAGAAATATTTTGATGATACTTACGAGTATAGGTGAGAAATGCGATTTCTTCTTCCTAATTTTCTGATTTCATGTTTCCTCTTGACTGCTTGATATTTGATTGTTTGTGATTTGTGTGGCTTGTTTACAGGCATGTGGTTCTTCCTCCTGATGTGGCTAAACTGCTTCCCAAGAATCACCTTCTCTCTGAAGTACGTATTAGGGTTTTCCTCTCTTTTTTGGGTATTCTGTTCTGTTTGGCCTTCTTTTGTTGTGGATAAGTAAAAGGATGAGAAATTAAGCTCTAGTTTTCAACTTGAGAGTAGGAAGAAGAAAAAGTAGAAGCACATGTGGATAATTCCTCTTTGATTTTCTGGGGGGATATCATATCGATTTCTCTATTGCACTATAAACCTGCTTTGTTTCCTTTTTGTTGAATTTTGACGGTTTGTCTGACTCGTTGTTTGGGAACTAAAACAAAAAACATGCATTGGTTAATGCATTTGATCGCTAAATTATTTGGGTTTATGGGTTCTACTTTTATGCCCAAATTTTCATTATTTGCATGTTCTTCAGTAGTTTTGTAAAATTAATTTGTTTCTTTATTATTATAGAACTGATACCGTACCTTGATGGAACTTTGGATCTAAGTTTCTTGCTCTTGCACCTGAGATAATAGTTGATTTAGTCAGAATTCGGTGAAGTATGGGGTGTTTGCTTCACTAGTTGCTATGTAGTTGGCTTAACTGTTGTCTTCATTTCCATATTTCAAGTGTAAATCACTTTAGTGAAAATGTGGAAATTTCATATCTTTTATCTGAATTCTCAGTTTTCACATTGACAATTGTGTGGTATGGATGTGATCTCATCTTTGTCAATGGTTGGTTTTGTAGAATGACTGGCGTGCCATTGGAGTTCAGCAGAGCCGTGGCTGGGTCCATTATGCTATTCATCGTCCTGAGCCACACATCATGCTCTTCAGGAGGCCTCTAAATTATCAGCAGCAGCAGGAGAATCAGGCTCAGCAAAACATACTTGCTAAGTGATTGAAATGTGCTTTGATACCTGAAAAGTGGGGTTTAAAACAAATTCTATTTAGGGTTTATGTTCTTCATAAACAGTTTGCTGTTGTGGGACTTGTCTGTATTGTGACGCTCTAGTTTTAAGAGTTTCATGTTAAGATTGTCTGTCCCTGCCTTAAGTATGATGCTGATGACATAATGTCACTGGTAATATGTGTTTTGCATATATAATGTTTCCCATCTTGTCGACTGCTTAGATGGTGGATTGAAAATGTTTGTATTGGCCTGACTGATTTGGTGCCTCTTTTCTTATGTGGGTTTGTTTGATGGAAAATTTTTCTTTTGTATTCTCATTTTTTACAAAGACTAGATTTTAATCCTAGTAAAGATGAGAGATTTGATGCTGTTCCTCCTGTGTGGCAATGGCAACTGCTGAATGCTTCAGACAATTTGATAAATGTCAACCCAAGGTTTTGATTTCATGGATTAAAAGAAAGGAGGAGATTGGAAAGAACATTAGCATTAGTTAGGGGGGCTGCATTACCTACTTGAGAGTTCAGAAACCCTACTACAGTTATTCCTATTAGTTGAACTGAATCTACAAAATTACAACACAACACAATCAGGATCTAAAGCAGATTCTGAAGATGAAGAGAACACAACTTCAAATGCTAGTACCATAATCAGAACTCAATTCTCTAGTTCCTCTGGAGTCTGAACTTTCTCCATTACCAACTTGACCTGCTCCTGCACCAGCTCTGCTTTCTTAGCCACCACCTTTGCCTCCTCAACCTTCAACAACTTCCACTTCTGATTCATTTCCCTCAGCTTCTCCTCCTCCAAACGCCTCAAACCCTCTTTCCACACCTCATTCTCTGGTAAAATCCTCGAAAACTCAGCCACCAGATACGGGAACTGCTCCAAATCCGGTTCCCCATCACCCCTTTCTTCATTCCCTGGTTCCTCTTCATTGTTAGCAACTGCTTCTGAATTTTTCTTCTTCCCCCATATTCTCTGCGCAATCTTGAAAATTCTCTGGTCATGAGGGGTTTTTATGAGAGATCTGGATCTCGCATGTTTGTGGTACTTGAGTCTCAGTCTCCGAAGCTTGTCGTTGATCTGGGAAGGGGTGAACTTGGTGCCGAGCTGCTTGGCGATGCGGTCAAGCGTATGGGAATCGACGGTGGACGACGGCGTTGGCAGAGGAGAGGATTTGGTGATCTTGGCGAGAGACTTGAGCAGGCGAGTCTCATCGGCTTCGGTGAAAAGACGGGAAGATCGTCCGTTCTGGGTGACCGGCGTAGCAGGCGTCGCCATGGCGATTTTTTTTTTTTTAAGTGGTTTGATCCAGAGTGAAATTCTATAAAAGGAAAAAAATTGAGAAATAGTGAAAAGCCGTTGACTTGGCCCATATATGGCTTCTGAATTTGGATAAGAGGCCCAAGCCCAAGAATCCGGCAAGCCTCTTTCCTCCCTGTTGATCTTCATCACCAGTCGATCTCGACGTCGACCAGGAAATTGCAGAGCTTGAGCTCCCCAAATTGAATTCCGGTTTCGTCTCTCGAATCGGAGAAGATAGCAATTCATCAATCTCCGGCAACGTTTTTGGGTTCTTTGGCTTCATTTCCGTTCAGGTAGCACATTTCATTTAAGATTCAAAATGGCTGTTATAAACTAGGGTTTTTTTTTTTTCTTTTTTCTTTTTTTGGGCATTAAGAATTATGTTGCAATGTTTTTAATCTAGATTCATAAAGTTTGAATGCGATGTGGTTGTTTTAAACTTAACAATGAACATGGCACAAATTCTGCTTTTTTTTTCGTGTGCTGAATTATATGATCTAGAAAAGAATTGGGAACTAAAATTTCTTATGTTTTGAGATTCTTTGAGGCGAACCCAGGTTGCAATTTGATATAATTATTATATTGAATAAGGATGTGTTGTGATTATGGTGTATCCATTGACATTTCATTGGAGTAATTTCCATTGCTTCCATCTGGGGAAGGAATTGCACTCTCTACATTCAAATTGGCACTTACTAGTTTGTTTTGAGTTACATCTCTAGAGAGGTCACAAGAAATGACCCTTTTTTTTTTTTTAGTTCTTCCTTTTTGTGCTAAACTGAACTTGATCTTTTGAATCATGAGTTTTCTTGGACTTTGGTGTTTTAAGAAAACAACCTGGATATCTCTTTTGATTGCTGAATCATATTTGCTTGTTTAAAAGGACATCATGTTCTTGTCCTTTTAAATCATTTGTTTTCTATTTTCTGGTGGTATAAGAGATAAAGAGAAAGAGATGGTTATTTTGAAAGGGAGGAGGGAAGGATTAATTAATACGGAAATGTTAACTTGGAGAATTTGTGTTAATGTTAGAAATGATAATGGTGTGCTTGTACTTGCTACTTTTCAGTCTATAAATTTGAGCTTGCTTTAGCATTCTCATGACTCGAGCACGAAATGCCATACTTGCCACTGGTCTACTTGCTTTTGCAGCTGCTGGCCT